ATTCTCTGACTGCAGATCAATTACTCACTACCTACACATTGTCACCATCTTATATATATACCAGCCTACCCCAATCTAGTAATCTCAGGAAGGTTCGAGAAAGAAGTGGCGTGATACTAGTCACGTGACCTCGCTGACGCAACACTGCCTCCCTCCTTAGTATTGTTCGTCCCAAACAATAACCACATACAATAAACCAATAACAATTAACAATAACTTAATTAAGTGTACATAATTACAAACACAAAATTATAATTCAACAAAGTCTCTTAATTTTACGGGACGTATCCTCTTCCTTACTGGTCTCCGTCTTGTTGGCTTCTGCTTCATGTGGGGTTCATCCGCTTCATCAGTAAATGTCCCATCATCGGTAACAGTCACATCAGTGGTAGTAACTTCGCCAAGAGCTTAGCTTTACCGTTTCCCTTCTCAAAACTGAGTAGAGTTTCTTCTTCGACGGTGGCTTCTTCAGGTGGCACGTCTTCAGCAGCGTCATTTGTTCTGTTGTCCACTTCATCCCAACTGAAATGTCCTGGACCATGATAACGCCAAAGCCTGTTGGCATGCACCACTTTTGGCTTACCTCGCCGACCACATTTTATCCGGAAACTCACGTCTGAGAGACGATCCACTATGTCATATGGGCCTTCCCATGGAGAAGACAACTTAGGAGACTTCCCTTTGGTCTTCCTGGGATTATACAACCATACCTTGTCTCCTCGTACAAAGCTGACTTTAGTAGATCTCTTATCATAAGTTAACTTCATCGAATCAGCAGACATTTTCAAGTTTGAACGCAATTATCGGAAAGGATGGATGATATTCACCATCAAAAGGACGCCCACCTTATGAAGAGTTGCCTGAGAATGTGTCAGAGTTTGTGAAAGTGTTAACAGATCCACTGGCAACCGAAGTTCCCAACCAAACTTCAACTTTGCTGGAGTGTATCCAGTGGTTTCATGCTCTGCTGTCCTATAGGCCATCAACAGTGGAGGGAGTAAGATATCCCAGTCATCTTGGCGGCTATTACAAAACTTTGCCAATTCCTGTCCCAGTGTCCAGTTATAGTTTTTTACCATCCCATCAGACTGTGGGTGCAGTGGCGTTGTCCTGGTCTTTCGTATGACAAACAACTGGCAGCATTCTTGGAACACATCTGAATCGAAGTTACGTTCTTGATCTGAATGCAGTTCATATGGCATACCAAATCTGAAGAAGAAGTCACCAATAGCCGTAGCTACAGTTGTAGCTTCCTGATTTGGTATTGCATATGCCTCAGGCCACTTGGTGAAATAATCCATCACCACACAAATGTACTTGTTTCCAGCAGGAGTTTAGGGAAGAGGACCAGCAATGTCGACGGCTCCTCTTTCCATTGGTGCACCAACTGGATATAACTTCATTGGAGCACGTCCCTTATGCTTGGGTCCCCTTTTAGCACAACGTGTACTGCATGTTCTGCCCCATTCTTCCACATGCAGTTAAGAGTACATATGATAGTTTCTGTAAAGTGCCTCGAAGTAGATTTGGAAGAACCACTGCTACTCTGATAAGGGTAAGTCATCTTCAAGAAATGTCAGACTGTCATACTGGTTTGGTGTTTGGTAACGGCTTATCTCCCTTCATAAAGAGATTTCGCATCACTCGACTAGTCACTAGTGTTCGCCATCTTGACTGCTGGTAAAACAGCTCGTGTTGATGGGGCTCATCCATCAATGTCACTTCTTTTCTTTCTCCAGTGGGTGACCTTGACCAGAGCTGGGCTTAAATTTTGTGGTTGGCGAATAACTGTAGGGACTGCTCCACACAGTCTCAGATACTCTTGACCACATGCCACCCTGTCAATTCTCAATCATCCAAACTTCACTTGCCTAAGCTGTCTAAGAAAAACATTTCTGTCAGGCCTTTTGGGTGCTCCAGATGCTATTTGTTCTACATATTTGACTTCTGGCTGTAAGATGATGCCCATTAAAGATCTCTGCGATCCAGGAGAGAACTTCT